TGCCCCATAGATTCTCTATGGGTTTCAGGTTAGGCTAGTTTGCTGGCCAATCAAGCACAGTAATCCCACGGTCATTGAACCAGGTTTTGGTGCTTTTGGCAGTGTGGGCCGGTGCCAAGTCCTGCATTAGTGAAATAAATGAAATTTTGCACGATATTCTAATTATTCAAGTTTCACCTCTATACTGTATGTTTACACTTATTTTCTGTCCTACTCACAACAATTTCACCAGACAGCAAGTAAGAGGGACTCTTCAAGCTGGTGTTGGAAGGAAGGCTTTGGTTTCCTGGAGAACTGGACTGACTTCTTAGTCGGTTACCGGCTCTACAGGAGAGACGGGCTGCATCTTAATGGGGAAGGTGCAGCACTTTTGGGGGGAAAATGCAATACTAGATTTAATCATTTCCAATAATGCGGAGTTAGTTGCAGACATGGTGATTAGAGAGACACTGGGTAATAGTGATCATAGGATGATTACTTTTAATGTTGGGTAAAGAAAAGAGAAGTGTGTGGGTCTGACAAGAGCACTAAACCTCAGAAAGGCAAACTTCGATCTGCACCAGATAGTATGCGACACCAAATGGGACAACTTATTTCTAACACTGAACAATGACAAGAAGTGGGATTGTTTTAAGAATACATTACATAACGCTGTTACCAAGTGCATTCCATCTGGGGGAACAAAAATAAAAGATCAAGAACTAAGCCTGCATGGCTAAGTAAAATGGTAAAAGACATCAAAGACTAGAGCATGGCATTTAAAAAATATAAGATGAAGGGGACGGCATTGGCATTCCAGAACTACAAGGAATATAATCAAATATGTGAACATTAGATTCGGGAAGCTAAAATGGAGTGCGAAAAGCATATCACCCCAGTAAGTAAAAAGAACCCCAAAAATGCTACCAATATATATAAACAGTAAAAAGGTAAGAAAAGAGAAGATAGGCCCAATAAAAGATGAGAACAGAAGATTATTCACAAACGACAGGGAGGGGGCGAGGTGTTGAATTATTTTCTCTCCTCAGTATGCACTCAGGAAAAAGACAGGTTAATGTAGATAAGAATGCGAGTAGCTCAATGCAAAATATACCGCAGTGGTTGACAGTAGCCGGGGTTCAACAAAGACTTGAAAAACTTAACGCAAATAAAGCATTAGGACCAGATAACCTGCACCCCAGGGGACTTAAAGAGCTCGGCCATTTTATAGCCAGACCATTATTCCTCATTTTCAAGGACTATTTAATGACTGGTAGAGTACCAAGTGACTGGTGGAAGGCTACAGTAGTTCTGATATTCAAAAAAGGGTCAAGATGCCAACCTGGGAACTACAGACCATACAAAACACAAACAAATCCCCAGCTTCACCTGCCAGCTAGCCTGCAACCAAACGAATTGCCCTGTCAACAGTATGCGTTAAAATCAGAGGTTTTAGTTGCACAAACTTTTGGCCAAAAATATGTAGAAGCCACACCAAGGCACCTCTGTAAAGTGTGGTCCTAACTCTATGTATACGAGTCTCCAAGTGTGAGCATATTAATGCAGTCGATAAATTGCATGCAGGTGTACCTGGAGGTAGCCAACTCCTCCTAATAAGGTGCTGGGACGCACTGGGGGCCCAGCAATCTAGATTGCACGCTGGGACCCCAGTGCGTCCCCACAACCAAAAATAGTCAAACTAGAAAAAATGGTACCTGCATGAATCTATAACCAGCCTGTTTGGCAGGGAGCACGCTGGGACAGACCAGTCAGTCTAACATCCATAGTATGCAAAATGTTAGAGGGAATGATAAAGGACTATTTGGTGGAGTTTGTTCGTGACAATGGTATAATAAATGATAATCAGCATGGATTTACAGTAGGAAGGATTGTTCTTGTCAGACCAACCTACTAACATTCTACAAAGAGGTAAGTAGAGATCTGGATGGAGGGAGGTTGGTGGATGTGGTGTGTCTGGATGGAGGGAGACCGGTAGATGTGGTATATCTGGATTTTTCTAAAGCGTTTGACACAGTACCTCATAAACGCTTACTACACAAGCTGAGGTCTATGGGCATAGGTGAAATGGTGTGTATATGGATAGAGAACTGGCTACAGGAGCATGTCCAGAGAGTATTGATCAATGGCTCTTTTACAGATTGGTCTAGGGTCATGAGTGGCGTGCCCCAGGGTTCTGTGCTGGGCCCAATACTGTTTATGATGATACTAAAATCTGGAGGGTAATAGACACGGACTTAGACACTATAACATTACAGGAGGACCTGGATAAAATAGGGGAGTGGGCAACTATATGGCAGATGAGGTTTAATGTTGATACATGTAAAGTAATGCACTTTGGGGTTAAAAATAGGCAAGCAGAATACACATTAATGGGAACTCCACTAGGGAAGTCAGAAATGGAAATAGATTTGGGGGTCATAGTAGACCAAACATTGAACAATAGCTTGTAATGTACAGTAACCAGTGGCCATCTGGATTTATGATGCTTAATCTTTAGAGGCATATTACGTCCCTTTGCTGTTTACAAAAAAAACATATTTTTCCTCTCTTAAAGTTCCACTTTTAGTACAAGGACTAACAGAACACTGTATTTAATCAAAGTGCTTTTTAATACATCTTGTTTTATGGATGTAGAAACACAAAGAACAATTAGCATATGAATGCAGAACTCCTATTGAAGCACAACTGAGAGATCTACAGTAATCAGAACTGTATAGTATAAGGGATAGACACAGGGGTTACTATATTGCATTAGAAACAATCTTCTTTACACAATCTTGGAATGCTCTTCTTAAATCCTGGTTCCTCAGACTGTAAACTAGAGGATTGAGAAGAGGAACGATGACCGAGTAAAAAATAGACACCACTTTGTATCCAGTGAAGTGATGATTATTACTTGACTGAAAATAATTAAACATAGTGGAGCCATAAAATATAAACACCACCATCAGGTGAGAGGTACATGTAGAGACAACTTTACTTCTTTTACCTTTCATTTTCAGGACAGTTTTGAATATAGAGACATAGGACAAGATGGTCAATATTAGAGGTCCAGGAGCAAGGAAGGTACCCACAATTAGGACAAGCAGAACGTTGATGAAAGGATCACTGCAGGAAACCTGAAACAACTGAGGAAGGTCACAGAAGAAAATTTCTATAATATTTGATGCACAGAAAGATAATTTTAAGGTATAAAGTGTGTGAAGTAAAGAATTGGTAAAACCGAAACACTGTAGATCCTTCTACAGATATACCATGACCTGAGTGAATGAGAACCTTCTACAGATATACCATGACCTGGATGAATGAGAACCTTCTACAGACATACTATGAGCTGGATGAATGAGAACCTTCTACAGATATGCCATGACCTGGTTGAATGAGAACCTTCTACAGATATACCATGACCTGGAATATATGACATTGGAATAATGATTTAATTGAAATACTCAGACGTAGAGGTTAAAAACCAATTTTAGCCAAGACTCATATTAAAGTTTTGTGTGGTTTTATTCCATGCTGGATTCTTATATCTCCTGGATGTGCCAATGGGGAGATTTCCTCCCAGAATTCCTAGCGTGGGCAAAATAATTCAGACATTGAAAACACAAATGGCAACATTATAGAGTTCAAATGCAAGTAAATGTACAGTCTTTTTTTTTGCATGTAGTATTTATTGAAATTTCAAAACAGATACATTTCAAAAACCGTCATAGTAGCATGGTATAGACCTGATACATATAAATGATTTGTACGGATAATGGTAACATACTATGGGATCCAACGTAAAAATAGAAAACACAACTATGACAATATCAAGAATCATTATAGCAAACATCTCAACAACCCAAATTTGGTTGTCGATCCAGAAAGGAAGAGAAGAAAGACAAACATTGCTTCACCATCGGCATCAGACGGGCATGTATTCAGAGTTAACCAGAAAAGAATAGAATGGGACAATCCATGTGTCAAGGGGTGTACTTGGATGGATATTGGGTTAGAGAAGGGGTATAAGCAACAGGGTTCTTAAACATAGAATCGTACCTTCCAGCAGAGGAGGATCACGCTTAGTGGGGTTATAAAACATCCAAAGCACCCAGGGAGCCATCTAATTTGGCCATATTGTACCACTTGGAATATTGGAAGCCGTCATAATGTCCCGAAGCTGATCTGGGGATAAGGTGGAGGAAAGGAACAATGACCATGTATGAAAGAACCGCCCTATTAATTTTTCTTCTAAGTGGGAGTCAGATTTGTCTATGTACAGTCTTTTATCTCTGAGATATCATTACCTCTATCATTACCTGACCCCTGTAGCAAGGATGTATTTTGTGTTTAACTTCTAAGTGCATTCATGTACAGTAAAAGTGTATACAATTGAAATGTTTCAATTGATTCTGGTCATGTTTTATACCTTCAACTAACAAAGGTGGCCATACATGTAACTATTTGCAAATGATCTAGGTACGAATGATCACAAACATATGATTCATCAGCATTTAAACTATTGAAGGATGCAAAACACACACCAATTTGTTTGAAGGTTGCAATTGATAAATATCATCTATCAATGACAAATTGAAACAATCTCATTAAATTGATCGTAGAAGCAGTCTGTATTATGATTGTTGTTAAAGCACTCACATCAACATTTGTTCAAACGATCACAAACAATCAGCAAAATTCTGGCATGACTGGATGACTTAGTCAAATCAATCAATCAATCAATCAATCATTCAATTAATATCAATGAAGAGTTCTCTAAATTGATTGAATGAATGTCTCCGGCTTGCAATTTTTATACGCTTAAATCAGTTTATCACATCAAATTATCAGTTCAATGATTATATTGATATCTGTGTAGCCAGCATTAGAGTTGTAATTCCTTCTTTCTTACATTGGGTGAAATCAGATTATAAATACTTTCATCTACACTTTATTTTCTTATAAATGTATTGTTACATCAATTAGATCGCTCTTCCATTTCATTTTTGATATTATCACTCAATATTGACTTTTTGCAAGCCTAGGCTGTACAAAATTCTCCTCAGTGCTGCCTTGAGATCTTTGTTCCGTAGACTGTAAATCAAGGGATTGAGGAGCGGCGTAACCACCGTGTAGACGATGGACACAAGACGATCTTCTGAAGCAGTGGAGGTAGGGTTAGGACGCAGGTAGGTGAATATAAGGGTCCCATAGAAGATGAAAACTACCGTTAGGTGGGAAGTACATGTGGAAAAGGCCTTCAGCTTTCCTGTCTGGGAGCGAATCCCCATGATGGTGCGAAATATCTGGATATAGGGCACAAAGGTGATACTAAGAGCACCAGATCCCATTACGATACCAACAAGGAACATGACCAAGACATTAATGAAAGTATCATTACAAGACAATAGAAACAACTGAGGGAGGTCGCAGAAGAAGCTGTTAATGACATTGGGACCACAGAAATTCAGTCTTAGAATGCAGAGGGTATGAATTAATGAGGTGAGGAACCCAACAACCCAAGCCACAGACACCATCTGAGCACAGATCTTGGGGTGCATTATCTGAATATAATGTAGAGGGTAACAGATTGCAATGTATCTATCATAGGACATCACAGCCAGCAAATATAGCTCAATGCATATAAAGGAAAAAAAGAAATAGAACTGAGTGATACAGGAAGAAGTCGTAATTGTCCTGGCTTTGGAAAATAAATCCGAGAGCATTCTTGGAGAGGTAACAGAGGAATAGAAAATATCCAAACCAGCCAGGTTACTCAGAAATAGGTACATGGGCGTGTGGAGGCGAGGATCATGGCAGATCAGGAGGACAATCAGTAAATTCCCAACCAACGATGCCAGATATATGAGTAAAAACACCAGAAACAAAGGCAGCTGGAGGTACGGGACATCTGACAACCCACTTAGTACAAACTCCGACACTTTTGTTTGATTGATTGCCTTCATTTTGTCTAGAAGACCAATAAGAATGACAAAAACAATCCAACATTATAATCATTATTATTCCAAAGCAAAAAATAAGGGGGGCAATTTTACAAAAGATCAAGCAACTCTGTCAGGAGTATAAGCAGAAATTGCCATGAGGCATCAGGATTTCCTGTCCCCAGAAAGTGGTATCAGGTAAGAGTATTGACTCATTCATTAACCTTTTAGATGCTTTCCTTGGCGAGCACCATATACAGGGGTAGTAACTAATACACTAGTAACTAATACACACACACACACACGTTGAACTCGAAGGACCTGTGTCTTTATTCAGTCTCAACAACTATGTAACTATGTATAAAGTATTGCTACCCAAATGCCCTATACATACCTGCAGCAGCCCCCAAGCTTAAAACTTCTGTTTTGTGCAAATGCCAGAGATTCAGGAAGTTCAGACAGGCAAAATGTAAAAGTCCTTAAGCCTTGCCATAGCATTCAACAGTTTCAGATCGGCTTGCCGCTATGATGGGATGTCTCACCGGCCAACAGGAATGTATGGAAGGCATCATTACTACTGGAAAGTGCCGGAGCATTGCCCATAAAATTGGCCTGGCATTCAGGGATAATATCAAAACTTGGGGACTGTTGCAGGTATGTTCAGGTACCCAGGTGCTGTGCTTTATACCTACAAAAAAATCTGTTCTTTTTTATCCTAGTGAAAGAGTTGCTTTGAGCAAAACCTGTACTTACATAACATTGAACTAGCCACTGAAAATGTGCCTGTTAGGTTAATTCAGTGGCTTCAGTCTTCAATTCAGGAAATCTTGCTTCTGATTATTATGGTTTCGATTATTGATACAACTGTGCTGGGTAATTCTCCTGTTTATTTTCATCATATATTTTATATCTAGGAAGATTCAAAAACAAGGAGTTAAAACACATTTCATGGAGAACCCAGGATTTTAGTTTGTTTTCAGCGATGCCAATTATAGTCTTAATAGCAGCCTACATGTTGTGCCCGAGTGTGATAATGCTGCATTTTAGTCAATAAATAGAAGCATTTGTATTGCATCTGGAGTGCCGGTGTCCATACTTCTCTTTGTGCTTAATAGCAGCCTTAGTCAACTATTTTATTCCTGAGGAACCCTTAAAATTATTTTTAGGTCTCAGTGCCTAAAATCTGCTTTTTATATTGGTGGTCAGTGGAGAAGGACCCCCTTAGATTCGTGATCATTGGAGCAGTGTCCCCTTACATTAATGGTCAGTAAGGTGCTCCTTATATTGGTGGTCAGTAGAGAAAGAGCACCTTACAGTGATGGTTAGTAAAGAGCACCTTACTGACCATTAATGTAAGGGGACACTGCTCCAATCTCCTCTTACATCAGTCATTAGTAGTGATGTATCCCATTAACCCTGATGCACAGTCTAGAAGGCCCCCCATTAAATTGGTGGTCAGTAGTGTGTGGATGGGTGATTAATAAAGAAGAGCCCCCTTATGTGGGTGGTCATTGAAGAAGGGTGCCCTTACACTGACAGTGAGTGTCAAAGGTTATGCTTACAGTTGTGGTCAGTGGACTGCTCCAGCAATGTTCACTGCTCAAGAAAGCCCAAGAAACCTCTGGAGGAACCCAGGGAATTTTCTTTAATCCTAGTTGGGAAAGACTTCTTCTTGGGCTTGATAATAAAGTGGCTGAAAATATTTACCAAATCAGTTATAATGCAGGTACGATTCTTTATACACATAGGCATCTACAGTACTTTAAAACTGAACTCCGGGATCAGCAAATCTTCTCTAAATACAAGATCTAGGTGTATTCTTCCTCGATTCCTGGTGATCTTTGTGATTGTTTAGTGTTTCTACAGTGAATCTAGACTGTGATACTTCTTGCTGCCTACCAATGCCATTAGATACTTTTAGGGTAATACAGTGTGTAGCATTCCCTGGTCATAGAGGCAGCTAATCAATTGATCCAACACAAAAAATGAACACCAATTCAAAAGAAACCCCTGTTAGTGTTAAATGTTTTAAGAAAACAGTGTTTCCATCTCTTATTATTTATACTCCCCATTATCTCTCCTAAGAGAATGTGGATATTATTTGAAAGGTTTTATTTAAAAATTCCATTAGTATGTTGATGAGGGGGGTGAGGGAGGAACCAGGGAAGGCAAAATAGAAGCATATTAAGTGCCTATTCAAACCAGAAGCATTGGGGCTGGACTGGGAGCCTTTTCCAGCACAGCCCTAATGCAAAGACAGGGCTATTTGCTAAGTTTACTATCAGCCCAGTTCACACCACCATGTTGCAGTGGTGTGTCGTGTGGTGAGACATGGTTCAGTCACATTGCACTGAGCTGTGGCTGTAGAACTAAATGAGATGTCACCTGTGGAATTTCAAAAAAAATTCTTCCAAAAAACAAAAGTAAACAATGCACCGGGATCGCTGGGTCTCTGTAGTTCACATCAGCGGCCATGCATTTAGCACAGCTTTCTGGTGTAAATAGGCCCAAGCCTTCAGCTTTAAATATGACAAGACAGAGTTGATCTGGGATCTGTGCACCTTGTTAGCCGCATTTGGTCGCCATGTCTCCTGTGTGATACCTGTGAACTTACCATGATATAAACATTATAGAAGTCCTCTGCTGCTGTAGTTATAACAAAGAGGAAGGTGACATTCAGCTATCAATGTCAGTGTCATTCTTGGTGCAGCTAAAAGGAGTTGTATGACTCTGAGCTGAGCTGGAATCCAAAAGAGCAACAGGGACCAGAAGACATTATGTATTTCTGCAATGTCAGATCTTCAGCATTAAATAGAACTTTATCTTGGAATCCTCCTCTGTTATAGGACAGCACACCAATAGAAGTGGAACCAATTCCATGCATTGTGTGTATTATCAGCGCTGAATGTCTGTGACTTTTATACATGAGGATTGCTCCCCGGGGTCTTGTTATACATCAATGTTATTAGTAAATATTTGTTCCCAGATGCTGGTAAATCTCCAGGTTATTCCTTGACATGTCTCCTGATAAAGAAAAAACTCTTCAAATCCCCACTGGCTTAATGTGTCTATCTCCTTTGCTACTCAAGTTGGCCGTACACTTATAGGCCAGAAAAAGAGAAACACCACTCCTGCTTTCCAGCTCCCTTGTCAACTCCTCCCATGCTCACCTCTAGGACTTCTCTAAAGTCTCTCCCATCCTCTGGAATGCTTTACCCCAAGCTGTCCGTCAATCTCCCACACTTTAGGCGATCCCTTAAGACTCATCTCTTCAGGGAAGCCGATCCCACCTCAACCTAACCCCTGAACCATCACTTTCTCAAACAATTCATCCCCACACAGCTACCTCCTCATGTATCACTGGCCCTTCCCTTTTAGATTGTAAGCCCTGAGGGGCAGGGCCCTCCTTACTATCTTGTCTTGAATTGTATTGTGATTGTAATGTCTTCCTTATATTGTAAAGCGCTGCACAGACTGTTGGCGCTATATGAATCTTGAATATTATTATTAATATTAATAATAATAACCTTCAAATCCCCACTGGCTTAATGTTTCCATCTCCTTTACTATGTAAAGTTGGCTCGTACATATATAGGCCAGAAAAACGGAAACACCGGTTTTGGTACCATGTTGGATGGATTGTGGCTTAGATAACATCTCCAGGTTATTCTCTAAGATGTCTCATCATTAACATAATCTGCATATCCCTATTGGCTTAATGTGTCCATCTCCTTTACTAGCTCATACAGGTGTAGGCCAAAAAAACGAATACACCGGTTTGGTTCCATGTTGGATGGATTGTGGCTTAGAACAGCTGATATATTGTGGCAATAACTCTGCGAGTTATAATGGATGCGAGGTTCCATGTGTAGTCTTCTGTTATTGTAACAGGTTGTAGACTTGAGCTTTAGAGGTCCTTGTTAAAGAGTAGAAACCCAATTCCTGAACTGAATTTAGGTGGGTGCACTTATGGCTCAGATCTTGTGTTCTTCATTGGCTAGTATACACAGAAAACTTTACATTATGAGCAGACTTTGAGTGGGAAGAGACACCAATGGGCCAATGCACAAATATACAATCCTCAGGATCCTTTGATGCATATGGTGGGTGCACCACATTGGCCGAGCAATCTTTCCAAAGTGTCCAAAGTATCTCGTAAACAGAGTGAGTTGGGGAAGCGGATTAAACCATTGTACCTACCTATCCTATCTCTGCTCATTGAGTCCCCTTACCAATCTCTTCCCATTTGCATCAGTAGCACTCGCACTGAGATGTTACCAGCAGCCAGAGCATTCTGATGGTGCAGCACCTAATAGATAAATAGTTTTCTGTTTGTCTTTATTATCCAATATACAGATAATTGGGAGGTGAGCAGATATTCATATTGCGTATTAAGTAGAAACTTGGACTCCTCTGACTATCAATGTGATACTAAAACCCAAAACATATCCCCTGGCCACCACCCTTTCTTGTCAGGCCATGTGGTGTCTGATACAGAATGTCCCTCAGGCAAAGCCAGGCATATATAAATCACACCCATGGACAATGTGCCCCCCCACACACACACATACAATAGTTATGGAGAGACCAGTTGGAGACTTTGGATCAGCTTCAGGACTCAGTTTTGTCTATGGGATTATGGGATTGTCTATGGGATACTTTTAGTATTGGAAATAGGAGGTGTATGCACAGTTTATCTGCAATTATAATAAATTGGTTGCATTATGTTGTGTGAGGAGTTATTTCCTTATTTCTGAGTCCATCATCGGTGACAACTTTCTCCTTCTGCAGCCAAGGACTCATTGTTCAACAGGAAATGATGGATAAACATTACTTCTGTTCCAGCTTCTGCTTCCTTATGTACACTACTTCAGGTTGTACCTGTCACTCTGCTAGAAGAATCCTGAGCACTGCCAACCAACACAGGGGATGCCATGAAAACCTTTTTCTAGTTCAGAAATGAACAGAGAGTTTTCTGTAGTATAAAATATGTGAAAGCCACACACCACCAAGTACTTATACAG